AAAAAAAAAAAAAAAAAAAAAAAAAAAAAAAAAAAAAGTAACGACTCTTCATATGTTTTGAATATTCATAATCTTTACAGGAAGGAACTATTTCAGTCATCAGCTTTTTTTTTGACGGATATTATCCTAGATTTAGAAGTGGAGTCCATAATGGCAAAATAAATAATGATTGAAGCGAGTGAAATGTACTTTTCTTATACAAGTTGTAATTGTCATATGGCAGAAGAACAAAGCAAGGCACCAATGCATCAAAATTTGCACTGCACAATCCGCATGCCATTCTTGAAGTGAGAAAGCAAAAAAGAATTCTCTTTCTCTGGGGAGGAAGAAGGTAGTGTTCTAGTTTTGAAGGTCTTACCAAGTGTTTTGGGTTTCAGTTCATATTTCCATCTATTTTAGGTGAAAAAGAAAAAAAAAAAAAAAACCTACTTCAAAGAAGAAAAAAAGGAAACATTCTCATCGATTACAACATTACCAAGAGAGAAAAAATTGAAACTTCTTATCCGAAATTGAAGAGAGTTATAACAAGCTCAGAAATAGAGATAAGTTATGAGCTAAAGAATTGCTGCACCTTCGTTAACTCTCTCATATTGCCATAAGATCACCATAATTTCGCATGAGAAGGATGGATCCTGCAAACATTCCAGCTGCACGAAGCAATTTCTGCAACAACAAAGAGGAAGTTGAAATGCAGTTCTGCATAATTCAAAAATACTAAAATATAAGCAAAAATGACAAAGATACATCTCTTTAGAAGTGATGTTCATACAAAAAAAGAATTCACATAACCATGAATTTCCTCTCTGAAATCTTACTCAAACAATAGTTCTCCCAAGCGCTAAATAATGAAATAAGGCAGTAAAAATGCTCTGTTACAACCAATTCTAGGCACGCATCCCTCTTCTTAATGCCAAAGCAGTTTTTTAATGCATTCAGATTTCATAGTTACTTGCAGCGACAGCTATGATGAGATAATTATCATATTCAGGTCGATAAGATGGAATGACGCATATTCCACTGGCACAAGATATAAGATAATTATCATGCATTGGAAACTCTTACCCAAAACTCAGAAAGACGGAACAAATCATAACTTTCTGCATATTATTCAATTTGAACAAACATTCTATAAGCTAAAGGCTAAAGGCAGCCACGAGGCTTTTTTTCTCTTGAAGTGGTATGAGGAGCAAGCCTCAAATTTAATAAAAAAAAACTAATTGTGCAAATCGTAAAAGTGTATGATCAAGAGTTGCTACATATAATACTTTATATAAAAGTGCACAACCCTCTCAATTCCAATTTTCCACTTCATTAAAAATTCTAAAATGTCATCCTCAACATCACCGTTATTATCACTTATAGTCTTCAATGTTTTTAAATCCTAGGAAATAAAACTACTTATAGTTGCATTGCCACAACTCACGTATTAACATTTGAAACGCAAAGGAGCCTTTATATTTTTTAAGCATAGAGCAGCAAATTAGTATCATTCTTCAAATCATTAGACAAGGTGTAAACAATTTTACCTTTGGTGCGTTTTCATTAAGATGCAAGCCTCTAAAGATCCAAACAAGGTGCCAACCGCGAGGCTAAAAAATGACGTTGGCTTGAGAAAAGCTTTGAGGCATAAGCCTCAAAAGCTTTGTAAAATATTTAATTTCTTTAATATGACAAAATGTTGTAAAGACCTATCTCCAAGAAAAATTAGCTTTCCCACAGAAATTTCTTTAATTATAACGGCGAGGATAACTTAAGTCTACTAGTGTCGGACTCCAAAATTAGCATTTCCATTAAAGGATCGACATTCTGTAATCTGGAGCCGGAAATGAACAAAAATCCCATGATTTCACAAACTTCCTCAGCTACCGAATAGAGAAACAAATAAAAACAATAAAAAGGTTGTAGCCCAGTCCTATAAATCAAACTAAGAAGTTTTGCGGGGAAAGTCCGGATTAAGAAGGACGAAATAATTTTTGAATTGAAATCAAAATGATGAGAGGAGTACCATGTTCAAGGCCCACTTTTCCTCGTCATGAACCTGGGAATTGAAAAAAGATTTCACCGTCTCCACCGAATTAGCTGTTCCGGAAAAGATAAAATTCTTCACCTTCTTCACCGAACTCGAAGCGTCACCCATTTTCGCTTGTACTACAGAGAGGAAGGCGTGTGAGGGCGTTAGGGTTTTGGGTTTCTGGGGTGTGGTTGCAAGTCTAGAGGAATTGGCTTGTGGGCTTGTGGGCTTGTACAGCAAGTTTACGAATTTACCCTCAACTTGAAAAACTGTTGAATTTTAAAATATTTGGCTGGCAAATTGCCAAGTTTTCATCGATCTGGATACACAAACAGAAATGAAAAATTTATTGGGATGAAATTGAAATAAGAGGTGAGATGGGATGAGAAAGTCTTTCCCTTCTCTGCCTCACTCCACCCATGGACATTTTATAAAATGTTTCTATTTAATTGTTGTGTGTGTGTGTGTGTGTTTTTTAAAATTTATTTACATGAATAAATGTTTACAAATTTAATTAAGGAGATTGAGAGAAATTAGTGGTAATCTTTATGTTTTTCTTTATTTAATTTTGAACAAATGCATATATTTATTCTTGATCGTTCTAAGTCCGAATATAGTATAGATTTGTATGTGTGTGTTTTTGTTTTCTTCATTTCGAATTTGATGTAAATTTGAGACAGCAATATTTCCGATAACATATCGCCATTTTAATCCGATGGAAAATGATGAAATTCAATAATTGCAGATTACAAACGACGACGTGAGATAAGGAAACATGATACTGCGTACAGTTCCATTGGCCGGGAAACTCCAACACCGGAATTCAATTCGATCTCTGCAACTTGGACACCAAATTCGACGCAGCAAAAGCCGCGGAGCCGCCCACGACGGAGACCAGAGCTGCCGCCGCCTGCAACACAATTTCCCAAACACTGTCCTCCGGCACCAAATACACACACGAAGGCCCTAAAAGCAACAGCCCTAAGCTCAGGCTCAGCAGCGCCCCGGGAGTTCCCGGATCCGTCGCCGCCGATAAGATCCCCAGCTCCTCAGCCTTGGACAGAAGTCCTAATTTCTCAATCGACGACAGAGATAACCCAGCCTTCTCCGCCGCAGACAGCAGCCCGGCCTTCTCCGCTTTGCTCAGGAGCTTCAATTGCTCCACTCTTGTCAGTAGCTTAATCGGCGGCGATGTCGACAGCGAGATGCTGCTCCTCGGCCCTTTCTCACCGAGAGGGAACACCGTGGAGTTTATCTGCAGAATTTGGGTCTTCAGTGTTGGCTTTACCAGAATTGAATACGAATTGACAATTAGTTGAAAAAGAAATTGACCTTCTTGGAGCTGAGGGTTTTGAGAGCAGAAGAGGGAGGTTTCTCGGCGGCCATGGCGTGTACATGGAGAGGCGAGAAGGTAGAAGGATTTTGATTTTTTGACTTCGTTTTGGGTGGATAAGAGTAGATGAATGAAGCCGCTCTGTTGCTGCTGGTTAATGATGCGATCTCCATAACTGCGAGTCTCTAACGGAGTGCGAAGAATGGTGATGGATAGAGCGAAGTGGGAGAATTCTTTGAGGAATTTCGTTTTTGACAGAGGCCCGTACCATGGAAATGAATGGAGGTAGTTGGATTAGTTTTCAGAATTGGATATTGGATTATCCACGCGTATTCTTTTTGTTGGTGCCACTTGGTTGGAGTGCTTTTCTCTCTCGTTCTCTTATCAAAGGGTGAAAAGTTCAACAATTTTTCAAGTTGAGGGTAAACTTCGTAATCTTGCTGCAAAACCCCACAAGCCTATTCCTCTAGACCCAAAACCAGACACAAGAAAACAAAGGCACTATAGCCCTCTTACGCCTTCCTAAGATATAATATTTTTTCTCATTCTTAAAATGTAGTAAAGATGAAAATAACTGATGCTTCGAGTTCGGTAAAGAAGGTGAAGAATTTTATCTTTTATGGAACAGCTAATTCGATGGAGACGGTGAAATCTTGTTTCAACTCCCAGATTCGCGACGAGGAAAAGTGGACATTCAGTATTGTACACTTTTGATCATTTTGATTTAAATTCTAGATTTATTTATTCATTCTTAAACTAAACAATCCACCACAAAACTTCATGTTGAGGGTTCTAGGGTTCTAGGGTTCGAGGGTTTAGGGTTTTAGGGTTTGGGGTTTGGGGTTTGGGGTTTGGGGTTTGGGGTTTGGGGTTTGGGGTTTGGGGTTTACGGTTTGGGGTTTAGGGTTTAGGGTTTAGGGTGTAGGGTTTCGGGTTTGGGGTTTCAGGTTTCGGGTTTGGGGTTTGGGGTTTCGGGTTTCGGGTTTGGGGTTTCGGGTTTGGGGTTTCGGGTTTGGGGTTTAGGGTTTGGGGTTTGGGGTTTGGGGTTTGGGGTTTACGGTTTGGGGTTTAGGGTTTAGGGTTTAGGGTGTAGGGTTTCGGGTTTGGGGTTTCAGGTTTCGGGTTTGGGGTTTGGGGTTTCGGGTTTCGGGTTTGGGGTTTCGGGTTTGGGGTTTCGGGTTTCGGGTTTAGGGTTTGGGGTTTGGGGTTTGGGGTTTGGGGTTTCGGGTTTGGGGTTTGGGGTTTCGAGGTTTCGGGTTTGGGGGTTTAGGGGTTTCGGGTTTGGGGGTTTAGGGTTTAAGGTTTAGGGTTTTAGGGGTTTAGGGTTTAGGGGTTTAGGGGTTTAGGGTTTGGGGGTTTAGGGTTTTAGGGGTTTAGGGTTTAGGGTTTAGGGTTTTAGGGGTTTAGGGTTTAGGGTTTAGGGTTTTTTAGGGTTTTTTAGGGTTTTTAGGGTTTAGGGTTTAGGGTTTTTTAGGGTTTTTTAGGGTTTTTAGGGTTTAGGGTTTAGGGTTTAGGGTTTAGGGTTTTTTAGGGTTTTTTTAGGGTTTTTTAGGGTTTTGGGGTTTGGGTTTTGGGGTTTGGGGTTTGGGGTTTGGGGTTTGGGGTTTGGGGTTTGGGGTTTGGGGTTTAGGGATTAGGGATTAGGGTTTAGGGATTAGGGTTTTTAGGGATTAGGGTTTATAGGGTTTAGGGTTTATAGGGTTTATAGGGTTTAGGGTTTATAGGGTTTAGGGTTTAGGGTTTATAGGGTATAGGGTTTAGGGTTTAGGGTTTAGGGTTTAGGGTTTAGGGTTTA